AAAAAAAAAAAAAAAAACAAGCTAAGCAAAACAAAATTCTTTAAAAAAATAAAATAAAATAAGAAAAAATTAATTAAAAATTAAAAATAATTTTTTTAATTATTATAAAATTTAAAAAGAAGAAAGAACAAATTACTTTTTCCTTTTCTCTTCTTTCTAAGAGAGAGAGAGAGGAGAAAAAATATAGTCAATCAGGTGAGTTTCTTCTGGGCAGCTTATGTTGCCTGTGGCTCACTGTTTTGTGTGCTGATTTCTGATCTCCTGGGAGGTTCTTGTGTATCAGCCAATGTGAGGAGCCGTCTAGGTTTAGCTCTGGTGTCCTTAGGTAGATGCTTGATCTAAGGCTTTCTGTGGACCACCACCTCTTTTCACCTATTTTCCAACTTTGTAGTTGCCTGGTCTTGCCCCAGAGTCTTCTGTAGAGTCTTTAGGGTGTAGGATGGCTAGTGTAGCTCAGGGTATCACTCCCCTTACTTAGAGGTTTCACTGTCAGGCACTCACTGTGAGGGAGTTAGTCTCTGCTCCACAGGCAGCTCCTCAGACGCTACCCTGTCCTCTGATTCTAGTTCCCCATGCGCTGGCCAGCTGCAGTTTCACATTGATTTCAACCTGTTGCCTTTTCTGTATGGGCCGTTTCAGCAGCCTGGGCTCAGTGGGTTCACTTAAAAAACATTCCAGTGATCTCTTTGCTTTCTCAGCCCCCAACAGGGATTTTCAGCTTTTTCTCCAGTTCCCAAACAACCAGTCCCTGAGAGTCTTATTCTTGTAATGTCCTCCTGTGAGCTGGTCTTCCTTCCCCCTCAAGACTGTGTCCTGTGGGAGTATCTGGAGTGTCAATGAGTTGGACCAACCCCTTTCCTGTTGGGGGTGGTGTTCCCAGGCTGCAGGAGAGGCAGGTGGGCTCTGCCCCTCCCTTCCCAGCTCTGGTTGGCTGGTCACACCAAGCCCACCCCTCAAACAGTCTACTGTGCAGACACCAATCCCAGCCTCTGCTGGTCTGCCTTCCCAGTGCCTGCTGGGAAAGTGGTAGCCAGTTCCAGGATCAGAACTCAAAAATGCACAAAGCAACATACAGGCAGAGAGTTCGCCCTGCAATGTCCTGCCTCCGGCTCACCAAGGCACCCAGCAGGAGGGGACCCAAAGTCAGCTCCAAGCAACTCCCAGCACCACTGATCTAAGCAAAGTTGAGGAGGCTCCATGTGCACCACCACAGCGCCCCTCAGGGCTGGTCACAGATCCCATGCTCTCTGCACTGGGAGCTCAAGCAGGAGGGGCTCCTCCCCTTCCCAGCACCACACAGATTCAATGCTTTCTGGGGCTCAACCCAGTGCCTTACAGGGAGGCAGATGGTTCCAGTGTACAGCTGCTTAGTCCCAACCTCTGGTTCCTTACTACTCGAGTGCCACACAGTTTGCATCCACCACTAGAAGCTTTGTTTCACTAGAAAGGCATTGTCCTCTTCTCATGGGCACACCGCTCCCCTGGGTTCCTCTGCCCTCTGTGCGGAGCACTCCTTCTATCCTGCACTCCGGGTGTGAGATCCCCACTTTTGGATGCCAGTCCACATGCCCGAGGGGATGGAGCTTTGCACCCTCCAAACCTCGGGGTTCGGAGCCCAGCATAGGCTTCAGGGGGGACTTCCCCTTTCTATGACCCTTTTCTTCTACTGGACTCTATGATGTTTCTTCAGTTTTCCCTACTCTCAATATGTTTTTTCCCTGAAAGCTCCTAACAAGTTCATACTCTGATTTCAAAATTGATATACTTTATGTGTTTCTCATCTGTGTTCACACACTTCTTACACATCTAGGACAGCTTTTTCACATTGCTAGAGTTATGGTTTACTTAGAGATCCACTTTGACTGTGTGTGTTTAAAGTGTGATATCATATTCGAGTTTTCTCTTTGATCTGAAAATCCAGCACAAAGCCTGGGCATATTGGAAGAGTTAGTAAATATTTAGTAGGTACCTGGCAAGGTGACTAACTGGCTGGTCAACAGACTAAATTTTCAATTTGGGCAGAAAAATAAAATGAGCCTTCAAATAAGCAGAAAACATTTGTCTGACAAAATATTTATTTTTCTGCCAGCATAATTTTATTTCCACACCCTTGTTGGTCATGTCAGTTTCCTGTCAAATAAAAATAAATGTGTAGAACTACTATTCTAGTTTGCAGACTTATTACAATAAGGTAGAGGTCATTTGATTTTTTACTTGTAACATTTTAAGTTACTTCCCATCGCTTTATTTTAGACTTAGCCAGATTTTGTTTAACTCAAGGTATAGGCTATTTTTAATTCATTATTATTTATGTTGGTTTTTTAGAAGTGACCATATCTCACAAAACAAAGAGAAGTCAAATCATCCAGAGACACTGTCTTGCTAATTGTTTTGGCTCTCTTGTGGGAATTTTAAGAATTTTTTCCTGACATTCAAGACAACTTTTTACAGATTTCCTGTTATTTGATTCAAAGCACCAGCCCCCAACAAACCAACAAACAAATGTTAACTCTTGTCTTTCCATTTTCTCATGCAAAGGTATCAAAATATTCAGCGAACCATTGCAACAGAGAGGCCTGAAGAAGATTCTGGTAGTAAAAGTTGTGAGCAAGTCCAAGCAGGAGGCGGCGGTGGAGGTGGTGAGAGTGACTCAGACACTGAATCTTCTCAATTGAGCTTAGGTATGGGAGGAGGGGTCCCTAGACTTCTGGGATGGCATCCAGTGGCTGGATGACAGAATGTGTGAGCCCCTGTGGCATGGTGCCATGCCCTTGGGGAAAGAGGGCAGTGGGATGGATGAAGGTCAGGACAGAGGAGAAAAAGGCAAAGCGCAACAAGTAAAGCAGACAGAAGTTTCTCAGCAGGAACTAAAGGAGAAGTGGATTCACATAAAAAGAACGCCAGCACCATGGTTTGGGGTCTGCAGACAAGAGACAGATGAAGTCTAGGGTCTCAGAGCTAGGTTTGCTTGTGCATCAAGGCAGTTTTTTCAGTGTCTTAATCATTTCTAGTTAGGTTAATTTATTTGTTGTAGTCTGAGAATGTTCCACTTATGAATGAAACACACAATCAAAAGTTATGATCCACTTCAAAAGAGCCACATAGCCACACTGTGAATGGGAATAATTACTTGTTTGCTTTAGGAATAAAATATAGTTCCCCTTGAGGGAGAAATCTGGGAATAAAGACATTTTCCAACAGGCATATGGTTATGCACACCACCCAAGAGCCTGTTTTACCAAATATTGTAGGTGTCCACCAGGGGTCTGGTTGTCATTTCTAGAAACTCAAATTAGAATATTCAAAAGGCATAAGAGACTGGCTTCCACTTTTTATACTTGTAATGACATAAGAGGATCACAGTGACAAACTAATAATCCACCTTTTAAAATTGAGTTAAGTGATAGAAAATTTATTTGCAAAAAGAAAGCTCAGAAAATAGTCTGAGTAAACAAGTATGTGTTTCCAGTCCTTCCAGGTCTCAGCTCTCTATGACAATGCAAAATAGTAGACATTATTATGCACCCTTTTGAATACATGTACGCAGTTCTACCAACAGTTTTAATTACCTTAATTTTATTCATTTTACCAGATATACTAACTCAACTGACTAGGATTTTCTATTATTAACTTCTTTGTTCAGCCTTCTGAGAGAGATGTGATAAAGTGGTTGAGTAATTAGAAACATGAGGGAAAAAGGAGTAGAAAATTTATTTCTGGGTTTGGTATCATATATGTTGGCATTTTCTATGTTACAAACCATCCTAAAGCTTAGTAGCTTAAGTTCACAGCCATGCATTTATCCAATGATCCTGCGAGTGGGCAATTTGAGCGGAACTCAGTTGGTGGTTCTTCAGATGACACTGGGCTGAGCTATGAGTCCTTGGTCAGATGTCTAATCAGCCATGATCTGTCTGCCCTGAGAGGGCCTCAGCTGGGGCAGCTTATTCCTGCTCCCGGTGACTTATCATCTTGTACCAGGGTAACCCAAATTTGTTCTCTTGGTAGCTGCTGAGTTCAGAGTGAGAGTGGGGACACACAGACTTCTTGAAATCCTAGCTCTGAACCTCTGCTAAATTCTCTTGGTTAAAACCCGACACATGGCCAGCTCAATTCAAGAAGGGGAGAAGCTGCAAAGTCGCATGCAGATGGGCGTGGATTCAAGGAGGAGAAAAATTGTGGTTCTTTCTGCAAACATTCTATCTTACCTATGATTAGCAATTTGTAAAGAAACTAAGAAAAAGTAATTGGCATAAAAGGGACAAGATATTCAAGGACTTGAGCCTAACTGAAGTTGTACAGAAACACTCCTAGGAAATAATGGTTCTTAACCGAGATACACAATGATATGACTCCTGGTCAGATTACTACGACACCTCGTCTTATCACTGTGATACCTGGTCATATCACTAACTCCTGGTCAGATTACTATTAAAAACAATCCATTCCAACTGTGTAAGCAAAGGTGTGTGTGCTGCTGGTATGCAGAGAAAAGTACTGTGTTTAAAATTACTTTCTTCCAATGCACTCTGTAGTTTTGCTTCACTTTTTCCAGATCTGAAGAGAGAAGGGTCACTTTCTCCAGTGAATTCACAAAAAATCACCTTGCTGCTACAGTCGCCTGCAGTCAAGTTTATCACCAATCCTGAATTCTTCACTGTACTGCATGCCAATTATGTGAGTGCTACAAAAATGCAGAGTGAAACTGGCCTGTCTTCCATCAAGGCCCAAAACACAACTTTGCCAAGTTGTTTGATACATGAAAGAGGGTAGCATTTTAACCCAGGCAAGAAAAAAGAAAACAGCTTAGTCCATTCTTTTCATTCTGTGAGTCTCCCCAAAAGGAAAAGAGCTGGATTTGGCAGTGCTGTTTACTCTTCTGGTTTTTGTTAAGCTCAAATGTGTTAGTGTCAGTGAAAGTACTTTAAAAAGAAATACACATTTTTATTATAGTTAAAATTTCCAAGGGACAAGATATGAAGTTGACAGATTCTTTTTAGCTTGAATCACTTTATAAAACCACTTTTGTTATTAAAATTTTAAAATAGATTTCTCTTAGATAACTAAGCCTCCTGTTAACATACTTTGTCAAGTATCATGCTTAAGTTTAATGTGATGAGATTTTTACATATGTAGTTTTTTCAATTCTTTTAAATTTGTATATTTTCAAGAAAGCAATAACATGATGTTACTATATTTACTAATGCTTTCATTTGACAAATATCTTCTGTAGTTCAGGCACAGATCTAGGTGCTGGAGTCACAAAGACAGATTAGGGTGACACCTAAACAGCAAGAGCTTCCCTTTTTAAATTTTTTTCCTTGAGCAACAGAATGTAAGTAAAGGCATGTGTGCTGCTGGTATAACCTCACAGGAGACAGCCTGACCTTAGTAAGGAATGAAACGCTCTGCAAACACAGGAGATGGAACATCATGGAGCATTCCTAAGGAAACAACTTCTGAATTAAGATTTGAAGGTTGAAAGCAGGTGGAGAAGTTCCAGGCAGAGGGAGAAAGGATGCAACTGTGAAGGGGCCTGGTACTGGGTCTGGTGTGGCTGGAATGTGGTGACAGGCAGAAGTGGGAAGAAGGGCTGGAGAAAAAGTAGGGAAACAACATGTAAGACATGAAAAGGCGCCTGAATCTACTTCAATAGGTAACAGGAACCAACAGCAGTCTTAGACATTGGAATTATATGGTCAGGGTGTTTGATGAAGCATTTTTTCTGATAGAATTGTGGGAGAGAGACTGAAGGACTAAGATTAGAGACTGATTCAACCATTCAAGTGAGAGATGATGAAGCCCTACTAAATAAGGGGCTAGCCTCATGGAAAGTAATGACTCATTTCAGGAGATATTTCTGGGTGGAATCAATAACAGTGTTTGGGACTACAGTGATGGAGGATGGGAGATGAAGACTCAGGAAAGTCTGAGTTCTTTTTGCTTTGAGCACCTGAGTTAGATGATGACTCCATTAGGCAGGTCCAGTAATTTGATGAGATGGCAAAAATTGTGGCATGGAAGGAGGAGATCAGTTTTTAACAGGTTATATTTGAGGAGCAGCTGGGACCCTTAGTGGTTAGACCCAGAGCAGCTGCCCTGTGGTGCAATCATGAGTACTGAAAGTGGACAAGGATGCCAGATATTGATGCTCTCAACACTGGGCACCAGGGGTCTTGGGCCAGCAGGAGCTACTGTGCCAGCTTGCTCTAGCTGCAAAAAATCCTTTCTTTTATTACATGCACACATCATCCCTGTGTGCCATATAATTGTCATTTGCACAATTACAAATTCTTGAAACTTTTTTGTTTTTTTCATCCCCTAACCCCTTCACGCACAAATATTTCTACAGAGGAATCAAAGGAGTGGCGGACCTCTGAAGTCCTGCCTTAAATCACAAGAACCCCAAATTAATACTCTCTGTTGTAGACAGCTGAAAGGAGCAGAAGCAGATCTGTGTAGTCAGAGAGAATCCATGGAGGAGAAAGAGGACAGATGCTCAAAGAGGTAAAGAGAGATTCAAGAGAGCCAAGCTGCTGAGAGAGAGGGAGGAAAGAGAAGGGAGGAGAGCCTTTGAGATGCATAGGGAAGTCAACTGTGTCCAAGATAGATTAGGGATAACAAACAGGTCCATGTGTGTTTATGGGTGCTTCATTTAATTTTTTAGCAAAATTTCTGCTTTTGAGGCCACCTCTTCAAGGCTCACAATAAATCGCTGTGTAGAAATCACATTACATCACATTAAGTTTCTCAAAGTGTACTTATCTGTGTTTTTTCTAATTCTCCACTCCCTACCCTAACTGGCTCTGACCCCATTTCAGAATGCTTACCGAGTATTCACCAGTAGCACCTGCTTAAAGCACATGATTCTGAAAGTCCGGCGGGATGCACGCAATTTTGAACGCTACCAGCACAACCGGGACTTGGTGAATTTCATCAACATGTTTGCAGACACATGTCTGGAATTGCCTCGGGGCTGGGAGATCAAAACAGACCAGCAGGGAAAGGTGAGTATGACTGCTGAGTGGTCCTTTCATCAAAGAGTCTCTTACCTGGAAAGAGAAGACAGTGTAAAAGTGGGGAGGGAGGTTGAGGAGAAGAAAGCCTATGTGTCTGAGATGTACTATTGGCTAACAAGAGGAAGGAAGGAAGAACTATCCACAGCAGGGTTTCTGTCCTGTGTGTTGTAGGATGTTTAGCAGCATCTCTAGCCTCTGCCCACTGAGTACCCCCATCAAGTTTGGACCTTAATATATGGCCCCCGGGGGACAAAATCACCCTCATTTGAGAACTACTGTCTACACCTCTTTAAATTTATGTTTGGAACTTGAAACCAGATTCTGTTCAATGATCTTCTATTGTTTTGTCTCCTTAGCTAACTCTCAGGGAATGAAATTATTAGTTAAATGGGAGTGACATTATTAGATTACTCATTGTGATTTCCCTAGTAAGCCTTCAGTTCTCATTAAAACAGCCTGGTTAACAGTGATGGGGCATATTGAGTTTGTGCCATGTTAACTGGCTTGCATATTGCCTTTGTGTGACCTTAAGCAAAACTGGTTCTTCCCAGTAATGTTTTAGAAGCCTAGCTGAGTTTCCTAAAGTGAGAATGTTTTTTCTTAATCTTCATCACTCATCTCAATGTATTTACAAGTCAGGCCAAAGTTTACTAAATAATTGTCCCTGTGTAATCTTTTGTGAACTTTGGTAGAGAGAACTCCTCCCTATTTTAGGGTCAAAAGAATTGGCAACTTCACCAGCAGATATGTCTCTCAAGAGGAAACTGAATTACATAGCGTTTTTTCCTTTGTGATTGTGAGCCTGCAAAGCCAAAGTTCCCCAAAGTGTGTTGATGAGGTGTCACTGTCCCCTGGGAACTACCAATCCTTCCCCCACAAACCACTTAGTGTGCATCAGCACCTGGATTCTCTAGATTGTGTGAGAAAAGACTGTGTCCACTAATGCAAGTCCATTAGTACAAGGAAACTCTATGACCAGCTCCTCTGTAGTCAGGGATTAAATGGGGGTGGGGAATTCCTTGTGTAGCAGAAAAACCACCAAAGTTACAATTTGCTCCCAAGGATCTTCTCATTTACTGGATGTGGCCTCCACTGGGAGAATGACAGTGATTTATATACTATGAGGACTTACTAGGATGTGTTAGCGTGGGAAATAAAGCCTGAGCCAGAGCAAAAGTAAAGGATCAGTACTTGAGTGCACCTGCCTAGTATCAGTGGTCTGGGGTGGTGGCCCTGTTTTCATTTACTGTTTAACCAAGATGCCAAGAGACACCACTATGAATCAATAAACAGAAAGACAGTATTTGTTATGCAAGGGCACACACTAATGCAAGCCTTTTGCTTATCTTGGATTTTCAAGAATGAAGCTCCCATGCCAGGATACAAACAGCAAGGGGCCCAGTGGAATGCAGAAAGGCCCCAAATGCAATCAGCCCTGGTCCTTCATGGTATACACACTGCCTCCTAGTCATCACTGCAGCAGAAAGCACAGCAACCGAGACATGTACCTAGAGATTTAGTCATTTTGAAATGCATAATAGGGAATTTCTGGCAAGACATTTTTCCTTTAATTCTGTTTAGTGAGATGGTATCATATACAAAAAAGAAAAAGTCTGAATTTGAAATGGGAAGACTTGTGTTCTGCTTTCAGTTATAAAACAAAGTAGTTGTGTGACTACTGACACACACCAAAAGGCTCACTGATTCCTTATTTATTGAATACACACAAACTCATAGTTGCTAGGCAAAATTTCTGAATTGCTGAGGGAAAGAAACTTTAAATTTGAAATGTGTTATCACCATCCATTGGAGAGAGAGGAACAATAGAGGGTAGAGGATAAAAACAGGGCAGGAGGGCATGTGTACTGAGACGAGTTCATCCTATTCTAAGCATTTGACACTGGGCAAATCACTTCACCAATCTGAGTCTCATTTTGCTTATCATAAAGTAGCAATAATAATGCCTGCCTTGCCTTCATGATTTTATTACCAGATGTAAAAAGTAAATAAGTTAATGTGGGAATCTGCTTCTTCCTTTATTGGCACATTCAGAGATAACAACCTTCACTTTTAGTATGCATTGTGGCAGTAGTAATAGACAGGCTGGTGCTGAGCTGTTTGGTGTCTTTGCATGCATAGTTATCCCCACAAAATACTGGAACAAAGAATAAAATGGCATTTGATACATCTTTTATTTTGAAAGTCTGGGAAAAAAAGACATAGCCTCCCATCAGACTTTGGTAGAGATTGACTGTGGGCCTCAAATTGGTTACAGGGCTGAGCCGAGGAAGGTAGTTATCATCCAGAGAAGTGGTGAGGCTGAGGATGTGGGACCAGGGCAGGGGATGAGAGGTATTCTGACTAGGACAGGCAGAAGAGGGAGGCAATTTTACTAAAGAATGAAAATAACAAAATGAGCCCGGACGGGCGTGGCTCAGCGGTTGAGAGTCGACCTAGGATTCAGGCGATCGGGTTCGATTCTCGGTCAGGGCACATGCCTGGGTTGCGGGCTGGATCAACGACTTTCTCGTCATTGATGTTTCTATCTCTCTCTCTCTCCCTCTCCTTTCCTCTCTCTGAAATCAATAAACATATAAAAAAAGAGAGAGGGAAAGAGCCTAAAAATACCTATAACAATGTAAAGGAAACAGAATCACGATCTCATGGTATAGTTTTTTTCAGAAAATAGAAATGAACTTTTAAAAGATTTTTGCTTACCCATAAAATAGCACAGGAATACATGACTTCTGTTGATCAAGAAGAAGTCAAAAACAAAAACAAGATGAGAGGAAACAGATATAAAAAAATAAAACTAGTGTATGATCTAGCTATCCCACTTCTGGGTATATATCCAAAAGAATTGAAATCAAAACCTTGAAAAGATATCTGCACTGCCCCCCCCCC